TCAAGTTCTTCTCCTTATATATATATATATATATATAGATTCAAGACTTACTCATCTCCCATCACTAGGGCTAAATTTTATAGTCAGTAAATTAAATTTGATTCAATGGATATATTGAGGAATGTGTAAATAATTAAGATTAGAATTTCTTTTATTTTTAAGTTAATTCAAACCATAGAATTTATTTCAACGAAAGAAACATATAAGCGTGTTCAGACTTCTACATTCAATTGGATGACTTTTTCCAACGATAAATTCGTCCTGGATACCACACTCTTGAAAATATTAGTATTACTTAATTATTTTGGGAAATTTACATGTGCAACACACAATTTTTATGTATTATGAAAGAATGGGTGCTTCGTGGAGGGCTTTAAACGAAAGAGTGGGTGTGTTGTGAATGCAGCAGAACGAAAGAATATGTAAGTCGTAAAGGTAGTGACCCGAAAGGTGGGTGTTTTGTTGAGGCAATGTTCCCAAAGATAGGTGTGTCGTGGAAGAGGTGACCCAAATGGGTTGGCATGCCGTGGAGGCAGCGGCCCGAAAAGTGGGCGTGTCTTGGCCAAAAAGGTGGGTGTGTCGTAGAGGCAGCGATCAAAAGAATGTGTTTGTCGTGGATGCAGTGACCCGAACGAGTTCCTGCGACACTCCAGAGCAAGGCCGTAGGAAGTATAGACATGTAACATGGAAGGTTGTGTTGTGGAGGCATTAACCCGAAAGGGTGGGCGTGTCGTGGAGGCAGTGGCCTATGAAAATAGGTGTGTCGTGGAGGCAGTGACCCGAAAGGGTAGGCGTGTCGTGGAGACAATGATCTAAAGGATATTTTTGTTGTGGAGACAGTGAAGTTAAAAAGTGGCAAGTCGTGGAGGCAACGACCCAATTGAATGAGTGTGTCAAAGGGTGTTGTGTCGGTCAGACCAAAGTGATCGGTCGATCTGGCCAGGGAGACCAATCAGATCAAAGTGATCGGTCGACCGGATCAGAGAGGTTAATCAGACAAAATGATCAGTCTATCGGGTCGGGGCAGTCGGTTGAACGTAAGGGATAAGTGTGCAAGAAATACAAATCAAGTGATTGTTCGACTGAACAAGGGCGACCGATCAGACCAAAGTGATCAATAAATTAGGATTGAGCGGTCGATCGACAAAGCTTGGGCAACCCATCAATTCAAAGAGATTGATTGACCAGGTCAGAGCGACCAGTTGACCATGCCGGAGCAAACATTCGATCGGGCTGGGGTGGCTGGTGGGACAAGCGATCGGTGGGCCGAGCCGGGATGACCAGTCGGACCAAAGTGATCGGTCGACCAAACAGTGTCATCCAATCTGAACAAAGTATGATGCAACCTGCAAAGTGCTGAATGTAATACAAACCCAACTTAATGCAAGTAATCACGATCGATAGCAAGCCATAGTCGTGTTAACGTCCTCGCTTGGGTACGTAGGGTTTAGCACATGGATAAGCGTCATAGCCACTTCCTGCTTTGACAAGACATGTGTGGAGCTTAGCATATGGATTTCCGAAAAAGAAACACTCTTCATTGTTGTGGAATTGACTAGTTACAAAGCTTTTCTCATTTCACAACTTCTCATGATTTTACAAAGTAAGTTTGTTGTAAAATTTTTCTTACTTCATAAAATCCAAATATCCCAACCCCTCCTAGGAGGGTTGGAAATGCCAGAGCAAGGGGAAATTGAGATTCCGATCTGCTTAGGATTTTGGTCCAGTTTTGCAACGTGAATCACTCGGCCTCGCAAAGGATTTGACAACACATGTACGCCTTAACCTAGGGCTTTCTCTAGGAAATAAACAACCAATCAATAGGTATATGGCAGTGTCAAATTATGTCAGTCGGCCAACTTTCTTAGTGTGGGGGACCAAATCCACGACGACACCACAAAATTGGCCAATCAAAAGGCGTACTGTCGGACCAACCAGTGTCGTTCAACCAATTGCAACATCGGCCAACGAACAATTGATTGCATCGGACGATATCGAGTGCTCGGTCAAACCCGCCCCGTGTGGGCGACCATAACCCACCACACATAGTAAAAACTACTCCTAGGGTTGGCTAAGAAGAAAACACTAGGGATTTTAGAGAATCTCACCAACATGACATTTGATGTCGAATTTCTTCATGTAGGATGAAACTCAGAAAATAATAAAAACCCCAATAAACACACTTGACTAACATATTTTGAATATTTTAAACTTTAAATTTATATTACATATATAATATAAATAAAGTAAAATGTTTCTTTTTATTTTAAAATGTATTACTTTAAAAATTTATTGCTACCCCGCAATGCTATCATTTTTCATGTCCATTTCATTTTCTATGATTTTTTTTAAAACATTTATTCTTTTTTTTCTTACTAAACCAACATTTTCTTGAACGTCGAGCAAGTAATCTTTAACATGTTGCCATGAATTATTTTTTTTCAATTAAATTTATATGTTTATTAACTTCAATGAAAAATTAAATAAATTCTTTTTGCAAATGAATTTCTTTTATTTTTATTGAGTTTATATAATTAATTTATAACTTTTTTAACATTAAATTAAATATATATAATCTAAATTTGTGTTCTATTTTTTAAATAATATTCGAATTCTGTTTCTATGTGCTGTCTTATTCTTAATTTGATATCTACAGTCGTACACCATAAATTCAATATATTGGACATGGATGCTGGCCTTGCAAGTTATATCAATTTGCCGGTTATGCCTATATTCTCTATTGAATAAGGCACATTATAATATGAAGATTTTGTTGGATTTCGTACAAATTTGCTCCATGAATTTTTATTTTGTTTATTAGGGGCTTCTAAACATCTAGAACTTGGGGAAAGGCAGGAGAATATAAAGATGTTCTTTTGTTTATACATAATAAAGAGGGTCGCACCAAGCTTTTATTAATATAAAGAGGTTACAAAAGAAATGAGTTGTAATGGTGAAGGAGTTTTTATTGTGTATGTACACTTGAAGCAAATTTACTTCTGGTGTCCAATCAGGACTGTTGTAATATACTTTTTTTGTTTTTTTTTTAATTTTTAGGGCGGGACACACTCAAATTTTTTGAACGATTCTGATTGGACACAGGACACAAATTTATGTCTGGTGTCCGTACGTAATATAAAATCATGAAGAAGACATGAAACAACATCATAAAGCCAAAAAATTATAAAACAACAACGAGCAAAGACAAAAAAGAAGTTAAAACAAAAAGAAAAAAATAGCTCACAAAATATAACTTATCAAATGTATGCCTTCATCCGGGAAGATAGGGTGATCAAAAGGTGATATCACGTGCCTTCAACTAGCAGGAGTTATGAGGAAAGTCAACCAAATGCAACAACATTAGGGGGGTCATATCATCCAAAAGGAGTGGAATACAAAGAGCTCCAAAATGTTGTACATGTTCAAAGAGATAAGAAGACTTCATTGCTATTAGTTAAACTATTGAGCCCTTTGCTAGTGGTGTAGATATCATCACAGCTTTTAGAAAATATCCAAAGCACTCAAAAGGAATTTGAAATTTCATCAAAAATCCAAAGATCTTTGGTTTAACCTCCATAATTCTCTGATTCAACTCATTGAAATGATATCCGTATGCAAATGACCCCAGTAAAGGTCATGTGTTTGTAAAAAGACAACTCTCACTAGTCCAGAAAATAGGGGAAAATTATGTGAGAGTGGTATATATAGGTGGGGTTGGAGCAATTCAGCTTTTG